CTTTTTTTCTGATTCACACTCTCTCTCCCCACCCTTACCCCTGCTTTTTTTCCCCCCTCTTCAGGCAGTTTTTATTTGACTAAAAGTTATATGAGAAAATTGGAGGGAAAAATGCGTAGCAGCGATCCTATCTTTAAATGATCTGATTGTGCTTTGAAAACACCACACTGAAGCACTTGGTGTGTTTGTTTTTAAATCTGTTTCTTCTACCCTCCCTCTATTCCTCAATTTATTCTGTCATAAATATAGTTCAAGAGATATCCATGGGACATGTTTTTCTAGGTAAATAAGATTAGGAATACAGCTTTCATTCTTATTACACACTGGATATGCAATATACTGTAATTTGGATTCAGGAATAGAACTTGCTCATTTATGACTGTAAGATTTACTGTACTGTGCGTGCCCTCTACTGGAGAAATGACAACAGGCAGCAAAAGTGCATCTTTATGGCTCAGTTCTAAGCAATAAAGTATCTGCGGCACCTTCTGGAAATTAATCCTAATGCTTTTTGTTTTCAGAAGCAGAAGTATGGAACGGTTATCCAGTGTGACTCATGTTGTTCGTGTTTATTCTCATCAGCTCTGTTTTATAATAATTGAATATCTCATTGTCACTTTGCCTAACCCCAGATTGTGTGTGTGCAGGTATGACAACAATCCGTTGATTATACAAACTATAGAAAATTGCAGCCACACCAGAGGCAGTTAGATGTTTACTTTCCTTACATATTGAATTATAACATCCATCTCATTGGAATTCTATAGCTCCATATAATGATGAATTTATTATGGTTTTATCTTAATTTAATATTTTATCTCATATAATGTATTGTCCACATATTATACACACAGACACGGAATGTATGTATGTATCTGAAAGTCAGAATTTCCCCAAGACATGACCTCCCTCCACATTCCACATAGGGCTGGACTCTTACACTAAGTCACTGTGCAGTTTGACTTAGGCTTAAGCATGTCTAAAACTTAAATCCTGGTCTGCAGACTATAGATTCTAGCTTAGGGCATTGTGTGAGCCATGGCTTAGCAAAGCATGTCTTTTTGGAATGTCGTGCTAGTCACTGTGTGACTCAGGGTGACTAGTGGTTTGGGGATGAAAGTTATAGCTCCCCAGTCTATAGGCACATCCCACAATTTATTCCTTATTTCAACCATGCCTGTGTTCATACCACATGCCAAACACTATACTGAGTCATTAAGGCAAGAGTTTGATGATCAGGAACTATTCTTAATGTTCTTTTTTCCAGTGGCTGAAGAATTTATAACCAAGACACCTTTTATATTTTAGTTCTGTATTTATAAGCTCACTGTGACAGCCTTGGTGAATTACATGATAATTTCAAACATCAGCCACGTATATGTCCATAAATATTACCTACTGACCAGGTTTTTGCCTAAGTTACAGAAAAGCTTCCTATGCCTTGGCTCCTCCCATGGCCTTTGCTGCAAGCATAGAAGGCATACACAAATGCCACTGTTTCGCGTGAGCTTCCTAGGCTTTGAAAAGCAAAGCAGGGTTCGATGTGGTTATCATCCGGCTGGGAAATGTCAAGGAAATTTCAGAGCTGGAGGTAAGACTGGGAAGCGAAATAAAATCATGGAATAAGATAATGGCAAGACGCTTCTGTATTGCTGCCAAGAAAATTATAAGGTCATGAAGATTTCAGGAGTTGAACTGGCTTCAAAGCAGACCCAGTTCTACTTTCTGCTGGCAAGAGAGGACAGCCTTTCCTCTAGGCAAAGTTTCTTACAAAACAACCTCTTAAGGAATTCAAAAGCTGAAATGTCCTTTGATAGCTTTTAGATTGCCCTCATCAATCTGGCTTAACGGAGGATTTTCATTTAGCCTTTGATATGCCCTCCCCAGGGATCCCCTCCTCTTGCTCTGAGGCATGGAAAACTCCTGGGGGTTCTTCCAAAATGGAGGGAGAAATTGCTTTGGGGGCCTTTGGCAGATTCTTTGCATCTGAAGAGCTGAAAATGGTCGGCCTCCTTTTGGCAATTGATTCCTTTGTCTTGCTTTGTTTCACCAAAGCAGGACAGAAGTCCTGCTCTGACAGCAGAAAGGCTATCCCTTTCTTAGGCAGATTATTGATGGATGCTGCAAGAAATAAGGCCAGTGTCCAAAATGTGTGAGTGAAGCTGCCACTTAATCCAGCTAGGAAGGAGGGACACATCTAATGTAATCAAAGAGGTTGGGGTCACATTAAAGAATGCTTGCTTAACCATGGTTCATGAAATAAATCGCAAATGGCCAGATGCACACAGGCTAAGCCAAAAACCTGTTTTGCAATACACTGTGGCCGAGTTCACAAAATATTGAAACAAATTACAAGACTATCAGGTAAAGACTTAACAAATGCATTCACATAATATTGCTAAACTAACCTTTGCTAGTTTCTGGTGAATGACCATATTATGTGAAGGCAGCTTTGCCACCTTTCTGACTACGCAATTTGATTGATTATTCCATGTACTGTACAAATTAAGTTAAATCTGCAATCAGATATACTGTGCAAATGCAGCTTAGGATTTAACCCGCCCCCCAAGTCAAATATAATACCATATGAATGCCCTCCCCCTCATGTAATTGGATATTAATTTCTCCATCAACTCCAACCACCATGGCTGAGGATAAATAATGCAGATTACCATGAATAATGTAGAAGGCCACATGTTGCCTCAGCCTTCTCCAATCTGACTTCACTCTGGTAAGGACTTTGGGTGTTGCAGGCCCAACATTTTACAAAAAGTGTCACATTAGGAAAATCTGCAGCTTCCAACTCCAAGAATATGTTGTTCAGCTACTGTTTGGCCTCCTGTCTTGTCCCTTTCTAACGAACGGCTATTCTGGTTTCGACGGCTATTCTGGTTTCGACATTTCACAGCCCCAGGATTTAACAACTGCTTGCCGCCATTCATTTCTGCAATCTAACACTTGCACTGCAGCTGGAGTCTGGCATTTGGCAAATCCCAGGACTGAGCACATGATGATACCCTGAGGCTAAAGTCACTTTTTTTATTTTCTACATGGTTTTTTTTAAAGCTTTGGCTTTGTTGTTGTTAGTTTTTAACTGCTTAACATTCTAAAAACCTGCAAAGAGTCAGATCTCTCCCTCCCAGGATGGATTGCGGTTGGCACAGTAATGGAAAGAAAATAGGTAGGCTCAGATACCAGCTCTGGCAGCTTGAGAGTCGGATCATGGCCTGCTGAAATAGGTTCTGATAGAAGTTGGGGAGGGAAGGGGGATGTATTTGAAGGCACAAAGCTTGTTAGCACATGGTTTAAACACGGATGGCTTGACAAGGTACAACTGGCAGGATTTGTACAAGCCAAGTCATAAATCACTGCTTAGAAACCACAAGGGTTGAGTTCATACAACACGCACATCCAAATCAAACTATAGGTCTGTGGCTGAAATCATGATGCATAAAGGCTTTCAAATTTACCCTAAAATCTATCTTAAAACCGTTTTCCATACTTGGGAGTCGAAAGGAAAAGTAGAAGGGGAGGGAGTTTTCCCCCTCCTATTTTTCATCCTAATGGAACAAAATATGCTTCTTTAAATAAGCCAGAGAAATTATATATTTAAAAGTTTAAATTCAAACAGGAATGGTGCTTTCATATACAATGTATCCCCTAATGAGGGATACTTGTACAATAAGGTTTCTAGGATGTAAATAGAAAGTAACAATTACTAATGTTTAGTGAAAGATCGAATACTGTATCTAAATTGTGACTGTGGTTGGAGTATCACTAATACTATTTATCTTTTTCGATGTTTTTAATGCAAATGTAGCAGTGTTGGGGAGTATCACTTTGCATTTTTCCTACTGTACCTCCTTTGCCTTTCAATATTTTAACAATAAACATGGATCTATTTATTTTTTAAGTAACTCCTTCCATCAGGCCAATTCAAAACCACGGATTCCAAGCTTGTGACCTGGCTAAAATTTTCCACCCAGCAACCCTGTGAAGAGGCCAGAAAGATGGAGGGAGGGGGAGGGTGCCCGAGGGCCGGTTCCCAGACCTGGCACAATTCTGTGCTCAATGTGGGCAGAGGCTGCAGTCACTCCGATCCTGCTTCGCCGGGGTGCCGAGACGGTTCGGGCGGCAGCTCCCAGGGAGCCCTGCAGCTCCCTGGACGATGAAACAGGCCGCAGGAGAAGTGACCTTCCCCCTTTGCAAAACTAGCTGTAGCTTCGGGCTGCGACGTTATGCAAGCCCCCCGTTCCTTGCGGAGTAAGCCCGCCTGGAAGCAACGGGCCTTGCTTCTGTGTAATACCCGAGATGGAGGCCGGCATCATCAAAGGAGCCGTTCGAAGCCGAAGGGGCTTCTCGGGGCAGCCCTTGCCCGCAGGTCATCCCTCTGCTCTAATCCGGCCCATCAGCAGAAAACGGCCAGGATTGAGGCTTTGGGGGGGCGGGTTGGGAGGGGGTCGCACGTGGCTCGCAGGTGCTTCCCTGCTCCGGCTCAGCACGTCCCGCGTGCATCTGGAAGCGCCGGATGATTCCAGGGCGTTTAACAGGCGACTCTCTTTCGCCAGGCCCGCCGGCCCTTCGCGTGGCTTCCAGGCTCACTGATGAATTCAGCCTCGGGGCCTCCCGTGGGATTGCCCACAACCGGCCCAGACCCTTCCCCCGCCCCGCGCTTATTCCGGGTCTGCTCTCCATCGGTCCCGCTGGCGGTCTTTCCGGAGCCTCCCGGGGACGCTGCCCGGCGAGGCTCCCCTTTCAGTCCTGACCTGGGACTCCGTCCCCTTCGTTCGCCCCCTCGGCGGGCTGTGCATGATGGGGGCGGCCCCCAGGCAGAGGAGCAGCGGGCGGGGGAGGGGGGGCTCATTCCGAGGCGGTTGCAGGGCCGGTGGGGCGACGAGGCTCTGATCCCTCCGCTCCAGGAGGCAAGGAAAGAGTCCGGAGGCCCCGCCCCGCGGGGTACGCAACCGAGATTGGAAGGGGCGGGGCGGGGCGGCGGAGGGGTTCGCGGGGGCGGAGCGGCGAGGCGGCCCTGAATCACCTTGAGGCTGCGCTCCGCCGGCCGCCGCTCAGAGAGGTGGAGACTCTCCGCGGGAATTGACCTTTGGAAGCCGGGTAGGTGAGGAAGGGGGGGTGGGCAGGGCGGGCGAGGACCGGTCGCGGATCAGCCGGGCGCTTTGCTGCCGCTGCTGCAGCCTCTCGCATCCCCCGAGCGCCGGCTCCGTCCGACTACCGCCCCTATCATCCCCTGCCGGGAGCGCGGCTTTGCAACTGCGCAGGAGGAATTGCAACTGCGCGTGTTGGGCGGGTTGGGAGCAAAGGAAGAAAGGCGCGAGGTCCCTGTGCCGGGGTGGGGGGAGCAAGTGAGATGCTGCCAATTATCCATCTCATTTGCACCCAATCTTCTCCATCAGGAGATCCCAGGGGGCCCTGCACCCATTTTTCGGGCGCAGCACGTGCGGTTGGGTTTCGTCCCCCCCCCCTTTTTTTTTGCCCGTGCAAGAAAGGCTGGAATTCAGCAACCCGAATAGATAGATAGCAATACAGCACCGCCTCTTAAAAAAAACGGGAGAGCGAGAAGCGGCGGGGCTGGCCTCTTTTCCGTCCCCCGAGGGAGCTGCGTGTTCCGGGCGTGGGCCTGGCCGAGCCCTGGCGGGGAAGGAGCGGCTTGGCACGCGGCCCTTTGTCCCGGGCAACCGCCTCCCCAGCTCCGGAAACGAGGACGGTCCCAGCGCGCCTGCGCCGTTTGGGAAGCGCGCGGTGCCGGCCCGGCGCGTGCTCGGCCTGGCCTTGCCTGGAAGCCCCAAAAGAAGCTCCCGACTGGAGGCCTGGAGGGTTCTCGCCCGGCGCGATTGCAACTCCCGGCCCCAGGATGCTGGAGAGTAGCCGGGTCCCACCCCGCAGGCTGGAGAAGGCCGGCGCGGATACAGGGAGGGGGGAGGGAGGGACCGATGGGATGCTCTCTTGGTCCCCTTCCTTTTCCTCCTCCCTCCATCTCGTCCCAGGCTCTCCATTAGCTGCGCTTCCCTTCAAATGCAAGTGTGGTGGAGGTTGTGGGAACGCCTTTCCCTCCGTTTCCCAAAAGTGGTGGTGCTCAAGGCCAGAAATCTGGCTGCACCGAGAAGCCTCGGATTGGCCTGGCTGCCATTTCCAGGAGCTCCTGGGCCTCTGCCACGAGGAGGGGGGATCGGGTTGCACGTTGCCTCCTCTGACCTGCCTTTCCTCCCCCCTGAAAGGATCTGGAGAGAGACAGTACCGGATCATAAATCAAGGCAGACAGGGTCTTTATATATCTCTCTCCCTGCCCTGCTGTTTTTCATCTCCTGCAAGTCTTGCGAAAGGCCACGAAGCAGGCATAGATTTCACACAACCTCCTTCTGTGTTCAAGCCTCCCCCCCCCCCTTTTTCCAAATCCCCCCCCCCCCCCCCCCTCCCCCTCCCGCCTTTGTGAAGGTGAGCAGACTCTCCTTCAGACAATGCCATTTGAACATGAGGTGGCATTTCCTGGCATGGACCTTCCTTCCTGTCTCATACTGCCGGTTGCAGGACAAAAAAGTGTAATGAAAGAATGGAACCACTGTCACTTAATATTTGCATCTTTCCTTTCTGTTGTAAAATATTTAAATTGTCAGCCTGTAATTTCTGAGCTGGAAGTAAATTCCCCTTATGTATCGGGGTGGGTGCGTGGGGGCGATTGGATGCTGCATCCTCAGGGCAATATTTTTCAAAGGCATGAAAGACCAGGTCAAAGTGTAACCACAGAATATTAGCTTAAAATTACTTGGTAGCAGCAAAGCAGGTTTCTTTAGTATGGTGCCTTCAAGGCTCCCTTCGAATGCAGGCCATGGCGGTTGAGGATTACTAAAATTGTAGTCTAATGTCATCCAGGGTACCAGCTTAAGGTAGGTAGTGCACAAAAACTGCCCTAGGGATATACATCTATCCTAATAAAATAGGAAATTGCTACCTTCCTTTTTGTCAGAACTGTAAAGTTGGACTCTCCAGGTTCATTTTGCTATTGTTTATTCTGCCAACTGCATTCCAGAATCTTTCGTGATGCTGCACAAGTGGGTCTTCACAACAATTTGTCTGTTGTGCTTTCCCACGCTCCCCTCCCAGGGCAAAAGGCACAAAACTTAAGCACACAGACTCCTCCCATGTGCAAAACCTCAGCTTATATAAAGGTACCCAGCCCGATTATATCTCAGTTAAATAGCATTCATCTTTTTAACGGCCACGTGCTAAGAATCTGAGCAGAGAACCTGGGGTGATGGGAAGATGCTTCATCGCACCAGATGGATCTTCCTGCCCCTGCAAAAGTACTTGGTGTGCTGTTCAGAAGCCACAGCTCTCCAAATTTTCACCAGAGATCAGATTCTCCCCCCCCCCTCCATTTCTCAAGTCCTCCCAATGTGAGCAGGAAGGCAGGCAGATGGTAGAAATGTGATGCAATGCTCCTTACTCAGAAGGAGGAAGTGACTGTGCAGAATGGTTGAGCGGAACAGTTTTCACAAGTAAATCTTTGCTGTTGCATCTTTGTTGATACTACCAGTTACCATAAAATAGCATGGGAATTGCTGCCAATTAAAGTGCTATATAAGCTTTCTGCATTAATATGGTGTGTGTGTGTATTTGTGTGAATTTGGGGGGACAATAAAAAGATTTTCATAGTAATAGTCCATTGCTATTGATCAAAGGTTCTGGGAGTGCCAATTTAAGCAACGTAAGTTAGATGAAGGCCAATGTTGCATGCTGTAGCTTTTTAATAGAACGCTGGGGTCAGTGCCTTGCTGAATCAATCAGCAATTGATTGATAAATATAAAAACAATAATAATATAAAAACGTAATAAGTATAAAAACAAGAAAAGCACAGTTGCCTGCCTCAGGTGTGTTCAAAACCTGAGTTTTTGTTGGTGCTCCTGGCTTAAAGCAGATTGGTGTGAAAAATGGTGCATAGGTTGGAAATAAGATGTAATAGCAACTGGCTGCCTGCCGGTTTAGCGGTTGGGCGCAGTAAAAGCTCTCCGACACATGATGCAGCCAGCATTCAGGCTGCCTAAATTTAGCCAGAGCTTGTTCTGTTCTGCTTGGTATCCTCTGTTCCATTTGGCTTTCAGAGGTAATGGTTTCATTTATTTATTTTTAAAGAAAAAGTAAAATGGTCACAAACAGCTAAAAACTGATCACTTCAAATCTTAGGGCCTACAGGCATGATACTTGAGAAAACTCACGCATTTTCAAATTTGGAGCCACCCAATTCCTTTGTCCAGAAGATCATATGGGATTGGAATGTTAACAAACATGTTTTATAGCATTGCAGCATTTAGTGTTCCTTATCTAATTTAGATTTTGATAATAACTCATAAAGTATGATTTTGAAGATTGTCACACAATTCCTGCTTTAACAGTTCACATATTTTGGCCTCAGGTTAAGGCTTGCATTGTGGCCTCACAAGATTAAATCAGCTTTCTCCAAAGGGGTGTCTCTCTGCCCCTCCCCCATTAAAAAGCAGGGTGCATATGCTTGAATCACCACCTGTAATATTTGTCAACTTGTAGTAGCGACTGTGGATATTTCTTACATACTCCTATTTCCAAAATCGATTGAACTATGTTAAAAGGACACTTACATTACAGATTGCAGGGAAGAAAATAAATTAAATCTGTTTGCTGCTCACTCCTCAGATTTGTGCAAAACTGACAATCATTAACAATTTTAAGAATTGTAAGCATCCAAACGCCTCAATTGCAACAAAAATTGACTTGTATCTTTCCTACTAAAGCTTCAGGGTATTTGTGCAAATCTTCCTTCTCAGATTATATCAGCGAGCATAAGTAAAAACACCCTTAAAAACTGTCTTGACTACAAAACTTTACCTGTAATCTCCAGCTTATGTCTTTCTCATCCCCCAAAGGTGGAATTGATTGAGCTCAGAGGCATATCAGTTATGAACAGCTAACATCTGTGACTTTGCAAATAGTTGGAACAAGCAGAAAATATTTTATGCTGCGGCAGAATTGGTGCCTCCTTAGGAATCCAGCTGCATGTACCGTACCAGGAAGGGCCCCAGGTGCTTCTCTGCTGAATTAAAAAAGATTCTCCGTTGTGGTACTTAACTGAAAGCAAGCAGCATCTTCCATGACATTATAGTGTTAGCTTTGACTAAGGCCTCTGGGGAGACAGGGTCTCTTCTTACTTGAAAGCCATGCGCACGGGGAAAGTTGCACGTAGCACAGGGCGGAGCATGTTATGGGCTCCAGAGCTGAAACCGAGTCAGTCTAAAGCCCTGGAATAACAGAGCAGCCAGAAGGTTCCCCTTGGGTTCAGAAGCAAGGGCAGCGTTTCATGGCAGCTTGCGGAGGAACCCTCTTTAAAACTGTGAAATCGTTATTTAAGTGATGGCTGTTCTTTTAGATGCTTAAGTTCTCCCCAAAGTGAAATTGGCTGGCTTAATTCTTAAACGTGTTTTTTATTTTTCTCATTTTGGTCTTCGGATGGCAAGGCTGAATTGAGATATCTTGACTGTGAACCAAAATGTTCTTTTATGCTTGAGCATGTTTGGCCTGTGAGGTGTATAGAGTTAGGCTTAAACTAAACTTAAAATAGCTTTAATTCATGGACATTACACATTAATTATTAGATTCATAGCCTGCCTTTATTTTGTACAATTTGATATGGCCCTTATTTGAGGTTAAATATATAGTCTGACCCTTATGATCTTTCCTAGCATAAAATTCTCCCAGAATTTAGCAATGTGTACTTTGAGTTCCCCAACCTATTGTTTGCAAGAATTTGTAGCTACTGATGGCCGTGCCAAGGGGAATTTCAAGAGTTCTCGCCATAATATTTGCATTGTCCTTTGAAAATGCACTTAAGTGCTGCAATGCTGCCTTGGAAGTGATTCAGTTTTAATTTTTGCCATAATTTTTGCCCCAGGTCTGAGGCTACACCCAGGCGCTCTCCATCATCCCCTAGTCCTGTCTGGGCTTGGATCTGGGTTGGTGCACCATGGTGCATGGGCTGTTACGTGGAATTACAGTTCAGAGGAATAACTTCGTTTATGGTTTCCCCCCCCCCCCCCTCAGTTGGGTTATGCTAAATTTGTTCCGTTCTTCTGAGCATGAACGGAAGAAGATAAATAATAGGAAACGAGTGTATGATGGATTGGGGAGACATCCGTTACTTCTTTAGATTTCATAAAATGTTTTATCCTTTTTATATATATATATATTTTCTTTAACATCTATAAGTGCTTAGTGAACAGTGTATTATCTGGGTCAATATGTTTTGCATTCAATTCTGATAGTGATGTTACCGATTAAATATATATAATCATACTTTTTCAACTTCTAACATTTGTGTATACCTAGTAATCATAATATGTTCTATTTCAATATATATGATGTTATTTTCCCAATTTCTACTGCCTGCTTCTTTTTTCTAGCCCTTATTAAAATAACCACCACGTTAAAAAGTGTTAAAATGTTTTACCCTCGGAGTTGCTGTTACGAGGACAAACTGGAACACCCAAGGTCCAAAAAAGACATTCAGTGCTCAGACCACTCTCGTTTCAGGTTGAAAACTCCTTCCAAATGAAACGGCCCTCTCTCACATCCTCCGAGTGGAGTATTTCTGAGAATTTCCGTGCATGGAATATTTAGAGATCGAGCATTTGGTGGCGCCGGCTCTTGGATATTGAATTCAGTACCATAACTTTTGTGTTCTTGCTTTAGATATCAACTCTCAGCCACCATGTCTACCAGTGACGCTTTCATCCAGACCCAACAGCTCTATGCGGCCATGGCAGACACTTTCTTGGAACACATGTGCCGACTGGACATTGATTCCCCGCCGATCACCGCAAGAAACACTGGCATTATCTGCACTATCGGTAGGTTAGGGGTGAGCCCCCAAATTGGGGTTGTCTTGGGAGACCCCCTGTGTGTTAGCTCGGTTCCTATATCAAAAGTCCATCTAGCTATTCAAATCTCATCTCTAGAATTATCTTCACATTAATCCAATTGGCAGGCCTCTTCAGGAAGATCGACATGCTGAATGTTACCATTTAATAGAATAAGAGAGTTGGGAGGGAGCTTGGAGATCATCTAGTCCAACCCCCTGCACAAAGGGGTATTCAGCAGGTCCTGACCAGTTCTGGAGAACCGGTAGCGGAAATTTTGAGTAGTTGAGCAAATGCCCCCTCTGACTGGCCTCACCCCCATCTATTCTCTGCCTCCCGAGTCCCAGCTGATTGGCCGGGTCTCCTTTGGTTGCCCTGCACAGGAGAACAGAGCTGGAAAGCAGGCTAGTGGGGTGGGGAGGGAATGGGGATTTTGCGGTATCCTTCAGTGGTGGGATTCAAAAATTTTTTTTACTACCAGTTCTGTGGGCGTGGCTTGGTGGGCGTGGCAGGGGAAGGTTATTGCATAATCCCCCTTCCCTCCCCACCCCACTAACCTGCTTTCCAGCTCCGTTCTCCTGTGCAGGGCAACAAAAGGAGACCTCACTTTCATTCATGAGGCCCTCTGACCATTTCGGACAATGTAATTTCATGTAATTCATTTAAAACAAGGAAACCAGATACAGGCCAAGTAAAGAAAGTTGAGTTAGAAACTCGTAGAGGAAGTGTATGATCTTAGCTTGATTAAGGAGCTGAGGATGTGAGGATTTTAAAACGGGATCTCTGGTTCACAAAAAGTTTTATCTCTTGTTATTTTAGGTCCGGCTTCTCGGTCAGTAGAAATGCTGAAAGAAATGATTAAAGCTGGAATGAACGTTGCCCGTCTCAACTTCTCTCATGGAACTCACGAGGTACAAAGGGGGAAAAAATCAGAAGAAAAATGGGAGAAATTGATGGGAATGGAAAGAGACGCTTTCTGACATACTAGTGAAAACGGCAGTAATAAATAGAGGATTCTTATTCAGTAACCCCGATTCCAGTAACCCAGATTAATCTTGGCCTCCCGATTTAGGGTTGTAATTTCAGGTGTCCTGCTTGATGAAGCAATAGCCAACTTCATAAAATAATTCTCAAACGAATGGAGATGCTGAAGTTCTTTGCCATATATGCATGGCTGTCCTTTTTCTGGTAAACTGAGATTGGATTATTCCTTAAGGTTAAGATCTCTGGCTGCCGTCTACTTAGTTGACTTAAATGGTCTTCCCTCTAGAGGTCATTGGGGATTGGATTACTTCCTCGTTTCAAATGGCAGCGGAGCCCAAATGCCTGGGTTAAACAAAACAGAATTGCGAAAACGAAATGTGAAATGGGCAGGGCCTGACGAAATATCGTGTAACAAACTCCTGGCCATCTTAAAATAGAGAGCACTCGCTGGCAAGTTCTGTGCAACTTCTGTATACCTAGGACATATCAGAAGGTCAAAAAACCCAAACCCTCTCATCTTCCTTTAATGCTGAAGGAAAGTTCAGCTATTACTCCACCCTGTTACTAGATCCTGCTGTACACCTTCGACAAGATCTTGCAACTACCCCTCCAGATCGAAGGTGGTTGAAACAAATCTTCCCTTCCACATGGTGTTTGAAAGCTAAAGGAGATTTTGCTGAGTATGTTAACTCTGCCGGGGACAAGGTGGTAACATGTTAAAGGATCCAAGTAATTCCTGGAATGAAAGGTTTCCAATCTGATAAGGTAGCGCATCTGTTTCCAGAATAAATCAGACCTGCCTTAGGGGTCAGCTCTGTGGCCTTTGAGAAGCACTGCACGTTAAGGTTACAAGAATTGTGCTACTTCGCAGGAGAAGAGGACAGTCCCATTTCTATAAATAAAACAGCCTTCTCAACATGGTTAGAAGACACTTCCCCCATCTACCTCCTTCCTTAAAGGCCAGCAGGCTGCTGTTGGCTTCCAAAAGGTCAAACTACAGACTGAACCATCTTACTAGCAAGAGTTTCAGTTTAGCTCACAGAATGCTATGCATCTACCCTTTTTTAAAAACAAAAAAGAACTCCCCCCCCTCTTCTTAAAGCTTGATCTTAAATTAATATTTATCACCCATCCCCTCCCACTTGTGACTGTATGACTGTAATTTTGTCGCTTGTATCCTTTGGATTTATAAGGACTGCTTCCTAGTAGGATTTGATGGCTTATTGTACCCCATGACTATCATTAAGCGTTGTACTTGATGACTCTTGACGAATGTATCTTTTCTTTTATGTACACTGAGAGCATTTGCACCAAGACAAATTCCTTGTGTGTCCAATCACACTTGGCCAATAAAGAATTTTACTGTCTGTCTGTCTCTCTATCCATCTAATAGATTTTTAAGCATTGTATGTACTTGCAGACGAGCTGAGAATTTTAGGTGCCACAGTACCTCTCAAAAATTGGTTTCAACGTAACCGTGGATGAACTTATCCACACACATATATGGTAATAAAAGTCCTCGTATATACTTGCAGAAAAGCCTATTGGTATATGCTGACCCCTGAATTTTTAATTAGAATACCATTAGGCAATTGTAAAAACATAATAAAACGTGTCTGTTCGAGCCGACTCTTTAACTGCAGGTTGGTATATTTTTCATGATATTTTGGTTGAACAGTCAGCTTACCCAAGGAATGGGCTTCTCTTCAACTATAAGTATATACAGTAGTTACCAAATTAAAATAATTACTGATTTAATTAATTCCCTTCTTCAAAATCTTCCTTAACTGACTTTAGCAGAGTGTTGGCGTTCCAATAGTGAAGTGAAACTGTTATCTGGCTTGTTAAAGTGGGATCTTGGCTTGATTTTTAAGTTATACCCAGGGGTTTGTCAGTAAGTTCAGAGATATGCATAAACCAATTGTCCCGTCTGAACTGAACTGAATTCTTTATTGGCCAAGTGTGATTGGACACACAAGGAATTTGTCTTGGCGCATATGCTCTCAATGTACATGAAAGAAAAGATACATTTGGCAAGAGTCAAGAATCATCAGGTACAACACTTAATCATAGTCACAGGGTACGGTAAGCAATCAAATCGTACTAAGAAACAGTCAATAAAAATTTAAGGATACAAGCAACGAAGTTGCATTCGTACAGTCACAAGTGGGAGGGGATGGGTGATAAGGAGTGATGAGAAGATTAATCGTAATAGTAGTGCAGACTTTGCAAATAGTTGGACAGTATTGAGGGAATTATTTAGCAGAGTGATGGCATTCAGGAAAAAATCCTGAAAAAAACCCCTAGATACGGATTTAATAGATGATGTTTAGCAGATTAAGCAGTGAGATTAAACTAACCAGACAGTTACTCTTATCACATTATGCTTACATGTTCCTCTCTCTTTAGTATCATGCAGGAACAATCAAGAATGTAAGAGAAGCTACCGAAAGCTTTGCTTCTGATCCAATTTCCTACAGACCCGTCGCCGTTGCCCTGGATACAAAGGGGCCTGAGATTCGAACTGGGCTCATCAAGGGGGTAGGTGGATTTCTGTCTTTGCGATGATGCGGTCATTGCAGGACGACTGTTTATTCCACCTTGCAACCATCTGACAAGCAAAGTCAATGGGGAAACCAGACCTCACAGGTTACTAACTTGAGCACAGTGATTCACCTGTGGCAAGAAAGGTCATAAAATGGGGAAAACTCACTTAGCAACAGCAATATTGGGCTCAATTGTGGTTGTAAGTTGAGAGACCTGCCGTATACCAGTGATGGTGAACCTTTTCGGCACTGAGTGCCCAAATCGGAATGCACAGGTTGTCAGCTATGGAATCGTGATTAGGTTAAAGCATGTGGCATAGAAAGAAATGGAATTTACTTTGTGGATTGGTTCATGTGATGTGATGATTAAAAAAGGGAGGTGGTGGTTTGTAGGTTGGGATAGTTTCGGAATTCCACAGAGGTGCCAAGTTTCTATTCTAATAAAAGTACTTCGAGATTACGGTTGCCTTGGAATTACTAGCTGGAATGGATAATCTTTGGAACGCTGACACACACCTGTGGGCCGGAGTGCCTGTCAGCTGAGGCTCCATTCAAAATCCAAGAAAGAAAACCTTAAAGACTCCATTGTTTTAGAGAAATGGACTTTTACTGAAAATTGAAGTGGTAGCATCAGAAGAAACACAAGATCTGAGGCCAATAGGCGCGAAAATCACATATAGAAAGTTAGGCCAATGTTCCCGCCCCCAATAGTTCAAACTGGCCGTCCAACCTGAAATGTGTATAATGGACAATGTGGGGGCATCTTCAGGTGGTGTTTCAGACATCTGGTATGCTAAAGACAGTTGACCTTGGCTTAGGCAGATAAGGGGCTGCATCTGTGCAGTAAGCAAGTGAGCTCAGTCAAGAAAGATCCCAGGTTGTACATTTCATCCATTCAAACCTCCAGCACTCTTCTCCCCCCCCCCCCCCGCAAAGTCCAATTATTCTTCCCTCCCCGTTTCTATGGCAGCCGGAAAGATAAGCAGAAGAAAGGATTTAGGGAGGCTGACAGTGCCAGAAACCCAAAGACCAGCTGGCCGTTGCATGGGTGCCTATTATATGCTATATACATACATACATACATACATACATACATACATACATACATACATACATATATACATACATACATACATACATACATACGGTATTCAGCTTTGTTCGGATATTTTCCCACGTCATTGTAGTTAGTCTTTTAAAGTTGTAGCAACGTTTCGGCAGATTCTCATCTGCCATCATCAGGCTTCTGTATTGTGTTTGTCTGTGAGACTTTAAAAGCACAACTAGAATGACGTGGGAAAATACCCAAACAAAACTGAATACCATACATGTAAGTACCCGCAAAAACTTAAGAAAACATATATATATTGTATTGTATTGTATTGTATTGTATTATATTATATTATATTATATTATATTATATTATATTATATTATATTATATTATATTTATATTATACTATACTATACTATACTATACTATACTATACTATACTATACTATACTATACTATATTATATGGTGCCTTCATTCAGGCCATTTTCAGGCTGTTCTTCAGGCCATTTTCTGGCGCTCGCAAAGACCAGCTGGTCCAGCTCCAAAGTAGAATTGAGATAAGAATTTTAGATACTGTTGTAAAATAAGATATGAGAACATGAATTGGGATTGGATAAGGTAAGCTTAATGTTTAATAATGACAAGGATGATGCTATATGAAATTAAACCAATAAAATGAATAGGTAACTATGGTCATGTTTGTATGGAGATGTGAAACCTGTAACCCACACTGCCAAATGAGAATTTTTTATTTTAAAAAAGAATAAAATGAAAACGGAGAAAATTGAATAATGGAATTACTAGTTTAATTGATATGGTAGTAGGCATTTGGAGAGAGTGAAGGTTGAAAATAAATATTGAAGAAGTATGAATTAATATGAATATATGCAATGAGAGACGTATGATATATTGATGCAACACCGTCAATGTATTGTTATATGTGGGTTGAAATAAAAAAAATTGAAATAAAAGAAAAGAAAATGGCCTGAAAAACTTGTCTGTTTTTTGGGCTGTTTCCTGGTACCTGTTAAGACCAGGTGGCGCGCATGTGTACACCAGAAACCAGAAGAACAGCTGGCAACATTGTGTGTGCCCACAGAGGTGGCTCTGTGTGCCATAAGGTCACCATCACGGGCCTATTCTGACTTTCTCTCTGGTGAGAGTTTCCAGGTTAATCTAAAAACAGGAAGTCCTACAGCAATGGGGAAAGTGTCAGCAATGGCTTTCTGCCCCTTTTGTAGATGTTGCTTCTGGGTGGTCTTTGTGGAGCAACAGAGTCTCTTGGGTATTAAACTTGATTTTTTTTTATGAATGCTTGCAGAGTGGTACAGCAGAGGTGGAGCTCAAGAAAGGCGCAACTCTGAAACTGACTCTAGACAACGCTTTCATGGAGAAGTGCGACGAGCATGTATTGTGGGTGGACTACAAAAATATCACCAAGGTTGTGGAAATCGACAGCAAAATCTATGTGGACGATGGCCTTATTTCCCTTAAAGTTAAAGAGAAAGGTAAGTCCCGAAGGCATCCCGCCCAGAGTTTTTTTTTTTTGCAACGAGATGGGTGACAAATGAATTTAATAACTAAACAAATGCTAAATAACCTACCCAACCTCTTAAATAGAAGCATATCATTGGACCCACCTTTTACAAAGCTCAGCCTGTCCTGTGGGGTCCCAACAAACTTTATAAAATCACAGCATCGCCACTTAAGTCACTTGCAGTGAGGCAACCTGGCTTGATGATGCTCTCAACTCTAAGGCTTACTGAAAAAAAATTATTTTTATGACCCTGTAATTCCTTTTGTTGGGGCGACTGAGTGGAACTGAGCATTTACTGGCTGGATGCCCTTCCTGACACCTAGGCAGAGTTCACAGCAGATATTTTCTTTGGGCTCCGATAGAGCAGGGGTCACCAACCTTTTGGACCTCAGGGACCACCAAACTCGTAATTTTAAATCCCAGGGGCCACTAACTGGTTCTGTGGGTGTGGCCTAATTTGTGGGTGTGGCTTGGTGGTCATGTGACTGGCTGGGCATGGCTTGTATGTAAATATTATAAATATTTATATAAACATTTGATTTTATTTTTATTTTTAAAAAAGCAACTTTTACCCAAAATCAGGCAAAGCAGGCAGGCAGATTGAGTTGCTCACAGAATCATTCAGTGATCTATCTATCTGCCATCAGCTAGCTTGGTCTCTCAAATTTGCTTGGCGTGAGCTGCACTGAATAATAGAACCTCCAGCCCTAAGTGAGGTTCCACTGTGCTTAAAAGCAGAGCCGAAGATCTAAAGACTAGCTAGAAAGCAAGAAATCCAACCATTTCCTGCTTCCTAGCTAATCTAAATCTCCAGGTACAGCAGAACAGCTGATGGTCGGGAAAAAGAAAAATAGCAATTTAGCAGGGTAAAGGAGTAAGCAGGCGGGGAGGGTTCCCCGGGCCATGTGGGCTGCACAGTTTTGTATTTCTGCACAGCCTGGATTAATTGCTTTGGGGAGGTGCTCTGGGGGTGAGATTTCTCTGCGGCCCACCAAAATTTTCTCATGGCCCATCAGTGGGCCGCGGGCCGCCAGTTGCCAACCGCTGTGATAGAGGACCATCAGTCATTGCCTAGCATCAAACTCAGCCTCCTGAGTGTGAGGCGATCTTCTTCACCTCTAGGCCACCATGCTTCTCACTTGTTGATAATAGCCAATTTGACCAATGCTCGTTTGCAACGAGCTTGCAAGAATAAAAAGTGACCCTGTGGATCCCAAAGGTGTTTTTCCAAAAAGTCAACCGGGCTTCCTCCTTCAGTTCTGAAGAAGCTTCTTGGATGAGAAGCAAAACGTTTTTAAGGAAAAAAAATAACAACCAAGAAAGTTCTTTTTTGGGGTGGGTGGGTGTGAACCATCTTTAGGACAACCGTGACCTGGACGCTTGAGAATCTCCACAGACATTTTGTGACCCTGTTGGTGTTTCAAATCCTTTGCAGGTGCTGACTTCATCATAACCGAAGTGGAGAACGGTGGGATGTTGGGTAGCAAAAAAGGTGTCAACTTACCTGGGGCCGCCGTCGACCTCCCTGCCGTTTCTGAGAAGGACATCCAGGACCTCAAGTTTGGTGTCGAGCAGGACGTGGACATGGTCTTCGCTTCCTTTATCCGCAAAGCGGCTGACGTCCACGCCGTCAGGAAGGTGCTGGGGGAAAAGGGGAAGAATATCAAGATCATCAGCAAAATCGAGAACCACGAGGGAGTGCGCAGGTGAGTGGCTGGTGTCAAGACACCCAGGAGCCTCCTTTCCTCCAGGCCTGGCTGGATAATTTTATCCTGGCTTTCGTTTCACGGTGGGATATTCATCCTGGAAACCGTACTCCGTGGAGACGGGGTTTCTAAAATGGCTTGCTTCCCTATTGCCCTTCCTTTAAAATGTCTTAACTTACTGCGCTTCTGTATGGTTTGCCAATTGCACAGGGGCAGATAGGAAAGCGCTCCAGAGGGTTAACGTCATTGCCCAGAGGATCATGGGTTGCCCTCTCCTCTCTTTGGAAGAGCTTTATAGCTCCTGCTGCCTTAAGAAAGTTCAAAACTCCTCAAAGATCCATCTCATCCTGGAACCCCCCCCTTTTTTTTTAACTATTACCATCTGGCGGACGATACAGAATAATAAAAAAAGGACAAATAGGCTGAAAAACAGCTTCTATCCCAGGGCAGTAGCTCTGTTGAATTCTACTGCATAGGGCAATATTAATGCAATATCAGGGATTTTCAATTCAGTGTATAGAATGTGAAGGGTGTGTGTTTGTGTTTATTTTCAGTCATAATGTACATTGAAGATGGTATTTAATTTCATTGTACGAGGTGCAATGACAATAAAATAGAATAAACTAAACAATGCTGAAGGGTAGACCTGAAATGTTTCAGCAGACTTGGGGTTTTTTTTCTGGCTGTGTATTAATTGATGCCTACACAGGTAGTCCTCGACTCACAACTACAATCAAGCCCAAAGTTTTATGTTGTTAAATGAGACATTGGCTTAAGTGAGTTTTGCTGAGTTTTCTTGTCACAGTTGTGAATCTGTGCACTCGTTAACCTGATGGTTAAGTGGATCTGGCTGTCAGCATTCCAATGAAACTCCGAATTTCAGTCAGCACTCAGAAACAAAAGCTCATCCAAGTAAGAGTTTATTAAAGAAGTCATATTGGCACATCTGGGAAAAGCCGAATCTGGGAGTTCCGGGGTTTTCCCTTCCCAAAAGAGAAATCAAAGATCCATCCGCTGTACCCCACCAGTCCATGACATGGCCCAATCAACCTATCAGCTTTTGGAAACCATATTAGCACCAGACGCTTCCACACTGCCACTTTCTTGAGCCTGGAAAAATGGGAGGGGGGGAATTTCTTGGAATGTATGTGGTTAGACATAATAGCATTTTTTTTCTCAGTCAAGGTCATGTTATTTCTGCACCTGGGTGAGAGGACGTCTTAAGCTGGGATGGATGGTAATTGGGGCATGGGATGCAATGAGGGGTGCAGGGGGTAGATTTGTATTTTTAACTTATTGCAAGAAAATCTGAAACTTTCAGATTTGAGATTCCCCAGATGTGGCAGTTTGCTACTCTAATAAAAGGAACTTTGGATAGGATGTCTGCCTCGGAGTTATTTGTTTGGAGTGGAGGTTTTCTGGAACGCTGACAGAACCATCATCCCAACTGGAGACCTTCCTCCAGACACCCCTCTCCAGGTGCAGGGCAACATGTCCTTGACTCTGAGAAAGAATGTTGTTGAGTCTAATCTTCCACCCCTCCATGAAACCCCCCCCCCCCCAGGCACTAAAATGTGACAGCCTCGAAGCTTCTAAGTAAAATATGGCTGACACTGGCTTCCTTACTGGCTGCCTGTCAGAAAATCCCAAAAGGGGATCTTATGACCCCGGGACACAGCAACCATCATCAATAGAAACCGGTTGCCAAGCATCTTGAGTTTTGATCCCGTGACTGTGAAGAGTGCTGCAACAGTCATAATTGTAAAGAAAGGTCATAAGTCGCTTCTTTCACTGCCGTTGTAACCTTGAACCATCACTAGGTAGAATAGAGTAGAGTTCGTTATTGGCCAAGTGTGATTGGCCACACAAGGAATTTGTCTTGGTGCAAATGTTCTCGGTGTACATAAAAGAAAAGATACATTCGTCAAGAGTCAAGAATCATCAGGTACAACACTTAATGATAGTCACAGGGTACAATAAACAGATGAACTGTTGTAAGTCAAGAACTACCTGTAATTAACAGGACTCTGAAGTCTGCTTCCTCCCCCTCCCCCCATGGGTGTCCTTGGCTTCTCACCCAGCATCACGGCCTTCCTTTCTCATAACATAGCAATAGCACTTAGACTTATATACCACTTTCTAGTGCTTTTACAGCCCTCTCTAAGCGGTTTACAGAGTCAGTGTATTTCCCCCAACAATCTGGGTCCTCCTTTTACCCACCTCGGAAGGACGGAAGGCTGAGTCAACTTTAAGCCTGGTGAGATTAGAACTGCCAAATTGCAGTCATCCGGCAGTCAGCAGAAGTAGACTGCATTCCAACTACTGCTTTCTGTGCCACCGCAGCTCTTATAGCCCTTCCCTCTTTCCTTTTCAGGTTTGATGAAATCATGGAAGCTAGCGATGGCATCATGGTAGCCCGGGGCGATCTGGGTATTGAGATTCCGGCTGAAAAAGTCTTCCTAGCCCAGAAAATGATGATTGGCCGATGCAACCGTGCCGGCAAGCCTATTATCTGTGCTACTCAGGTATTTGAAGGCTCTGGGCAAAGCCGTTGAAGGGCTCTGTAGCATGTGAGAGTTCTCCAAATCCTTAATAGGACGTCTTGTGCCCATATTGCCAAGGGAAATTTTAAAGGGGGGCAGAGTTGATTGGGGTGCCTGAAATAGTAAAAAGAAAAAAATTACCACGAAAGCTTGTCTGGAGGATCCTAAAGGTTAGCCTATAATTAAGGATTTAACGGATAACCAGAGTTGGAAGGGACCTTGTGGGTCATCTAGTCCAACTCCCCACCCAAGCGGGAGACCCTACACCATATCTTGACAGATGAAAGTCCCATCTCTTCTTGAAAGCCTCCAGTGCTGAAGCTCCCGCAACTTCTGTTCCATGGGTTGATTGCTTTCCCTGTCAGGAAGTTTTCCTTATTTCCAAGATAAATCTCTCCTTGTTCAGTTTCCATCCATTTGGCTAACAATTGGGACTGTTGTTGATACCTAGCAGAACATCCTTAGATTTTTACACTGTCCTTTACAGCAGTTAGTTTTAATAGTTTCAGCAGGGAACGACTGCTAAGAAGTTACAGCAACTTCTTGAAGAAAGTTGGAGAAAATTATTCCTATTGTGCTTCATTGGACTGGTGGGGAAATATTGCTGTTGAGGCACGTGGTCAGGACACCCCAAAGCCAGAGGGTGATTCAAGAGTTCAAACACAGACACACACACCCCTAAACTTGTCCCAAGGTATAACTTGTCCCATAATCCAGAAACTGTAACTCTGCTTTCAGACTGGCAAAAATAAACTAGCAATCGTGACGGAAGCATATATGCAAAAAGATTTAACCCTATGAAACAATTGGAACAAGGCTTCTCTTAGCAAAAAGATGGTCTCAGTGATGGGATTTAAAAATTATTACCAATTCTGTGAGCGTGGCTTGGTGGGCATGGCAGGGGAAGGATACTGCAAAATCCCCATTCCCTCCCCACCCCACTAACCTGCTTTCCAGCTCCATTCTCCTGTGCAGGGAAACCAAAGAAGACCCAGCCAATCAGCTGGGACTCAGGAGGCGGAGAATACATGGGGGCGGGGCCAGACAGAGGTGGCACTTGCTGGTTCTCTGAACTACTCAAAATTTCCTCTACCAGTTCTCCAGAACTGGTCAGAACCGGCTGAATGCCACCTCTGGTCCCCAACCCTTGGTCTGTGAACCAGCACCGGGCCACGGCATGCCAAAAACCGGGCCATGCAAACAAGTGAAGCCCCATCTGTGGGATGGAGGCCGTATGCGAAACCAGGTGGTTTGACTTAGAGTTTTAGCTAAGGACTCTTAAGAGGGACTGTAAGCGTGGACATAGGGGAAGTTTAGAGAGAGTTCGAAGCTGAATTAACCTTCCCCTTTGCTCTGCGAGATCGTTTAAAACCTAAGAGGCGACTTTGGAGCAAGTCAACTTTTCATTTTTCCTGCCAGATGTTGGAGAGCATGATCAAGAAACCCCGCCCAACACGTGCTGAAGGAAGCGACGTAGCCAATGCTGTCCTGGACGGAGCCGACTGTATCATGCTATCTGGAGAAACGGCCAAAGGAGATTATCCTCTGGAGGCTGTCCAGATGCAGCACCTGGTAAGTTGGCCCTTCAACCCTGGATGGTTTAGAAGCCCTGGGCTCCCACCCCCACCCCACGCCCCAGTGGCCCATCCCAACAAATCCTTTCCCAGGCTAGTAGCTCGCATTTATACCCAGCAGTGGTTGGTCTTCCCCCTGATCTGTCCACCCTGCTTGGTGTCCTCCCGATATGTGAAAATTAAAAAGTATTGCATATCTGGAGAAGACAAGCCCTGTTTGGAGAAGACAAGGGCTTTCTTGTGAGCATGCTGGCTTAACATCTGGGCTTGGGGGATCTAGTAGATTTGCAAGGGCTGGGACCCTGTCATCTGCGTCTCGGGTTGGCTAAGCTGTCCAGATCCCCCATGTTCAATTACAAGATCTTTCATTGGATCCTTCTGTTAAAATGAGAAGAGACTTGCCTTGGTCTCTCTTGCATGTTAAATTTCCATTGTTTAATTATCTGGGATTTAAAAGTAACTTGGCTTCTTTATGTCGCCTGGGGGCGGGGAGGAAATCCACAACGTGGAAATACGCGGGTCTGAATCCCACACTCGAGTTCTGGCTCAGCCCTGGAACTTCCTGGGGACCCGGCCAGGGGGCGGGACTGGGCGGTCCCTTCGATTTTAGTTCTGCTGAACTATTACGCCCAGGGGGAGTACCTAATTTACAAAGTGCATGACTGACCTCGTAAACTGCCCGAGGACTTCTTCTGATCTGCTTTGGAGTTTTGTAAGTTTTTTTCCCCCTTGACCAACTTAAGCACCAAATACCAGAATTAAAAACACTGATTGTGTTGGCTGTTTGCTGTGGATTACAACAGCCTTATAACCTACTACCGTCAGCTGCAGGGTCAGGTCAGTTAGCTTCCTCAAAAAAAGATCTCCCCTCCTGTTACGAGAAGGTTACTAACGCTACCTCTTGGCTTGGGCTGAATTCCTGATAACGTCATGGTCCCTCATCGCACCAAAGAAAATGATTCCCAAGGCGAATAAGCATGATTGTCTTGTTCCTACTAATCCTCTAAAACCGCTTTTTGTTGAAATGAGCAGGCACCCCCAACAGCTTTCTACGGCCTCTATGTTCCCATCTACCTTCAGATCTTTTAGGACAGACTGCCCCAATGTTTCCGGCTTTGTGGACCGGGGTTTTAGGGTTAGCTTGCACAAGCGATGCACATTCACGCCTGCCTCTCACAGCAGAGGGAGCACGCATACATGCACTCGCCCACTGGCCGTTTCCATGGCCCAACTGGAAACCCCTCACGGCCCACAGGTTGGGGACCGCTGATTTAAGGGCAAAAGGCTGGATGAAATCTAGGGAGTATTAGTCCGTGCCCACCTAACTGGTGCCAAAGGGCACTTCTTCCAAAACATTGGAACCCAGGAGGATTGATTCAGACCTCTGCACATGGCCCGATAAAGAAATTTCTGGCACCACCCAGAAAAGTGCACAAATAAAAAGAGTTGACCTGCTTTCTAATAGCATTCAGAGATAAAAGTTAAAATTCAACCTTCCTGTTCATCTTTGTTTTCATTAGAGAATTACACCCAAAGATCTTAAGAGCCCTCAACATTTGCTGGGTTGTGTTAAATGTAAGTGACCATTGAAAGATTTAAAAACAGTGTCCTATTTGCCATAAGTATCTCAGGAGAAGCCTTCGTTTGCAATATGCAAACATTCAGATTATAATATTTTGAACTAAGGGAAGGGAAGATCAATCGGATCTGGCGACTTGAAGGATATCAAAAACTTCCAGGCTTCCAGTTGTTGTTAAAAAGCAATTTTTGAATTATAATCAGAACCTGCTTTTCCTAGGATGACAAAATAAAGAGGAATTTTGTCTTTATGGATGGGGGTCCTTCCCTCCTATTAGCCTCCACCTGTAGTCTGGAGCCAGACACGAATTCACACAACCTCATCTTTGAGAACAGATCTGCTGCCGTAACATTCCCAGAAGGGTATTTCAGGTTGCATTTAAATACAGCTTCTAAGACTCACCTCTTCATCACTGTCTTCTGATGAGACTAACCCTCTGTATCATATAATGGATTTCTGGCTTTGTATCACTTTCTCCGTCTACCGAATCTTTGTAAAATTCACATTAATCTTGAATCCTTGGGGGCTAAGGTACAGTCGAAACTGTAATTTCCAAAATTGGATTATGTTGCTTTCCCTAATGTGTATCACGTTGCAAATAATTCTTATCGAATCTTACCTTAACTGCCTAGTTATAATAATCTGGAATATGTAGAGCTTTGCATGCTATAAAAATGCTACCCAAGTCTCAACTTTTGGCTGGGAAAAAAACCACACAAAAGCTAATTCCTGAAGCAGGACAAACAAGTTTCAATCCATCTTCCTTGAAGTTGGGATTGACTGTTATTTTTCAAGGAAGCTCCCAAGCATGTAAGCACGGGATTTTACATGCCACTCGAACTCAGGGGAAAGTGATTAATTGAATCCTTGCACTGGGTAACTCAAGGGAGAAAATCTTGAGTTTGGGGCAAATTCTTAGCAAAGCAGCTGGCAGATTCTCTTTTAAGTGGAATTTCTACAGCCAAATGGGTGACTTGGTTTCCTGCTAAAATAAATTCGGATGGAGCAGCAACAGAGTCCCCAAACCTCAGAATATTTTTCAAAAAATAAAACAAAACTGTTCCATGACACATTAATGTTGGTTCCGCAATCAGAGCTTATCACCAATGCCCTGAATCCTTCGGGTTTTAATTTCTTCGGTGGATTTGAGCAACTCACCTCTCTTTCCACTGGGCCTGAATGATAATCCTGCTCTCAAATGCTGATTTGTGACTTCGGTGGGCCGTTCAGATTTGGGAAGCTGGTTGCTGCCTC